AAAAAAAAAAAAGCTTGCAAGGGGCCATCTAGATGCAACACTGTGTCTCTCCTCATCCAAGGTAAGAAAACCAAAATGCATGGAAACAATTAGTCCAAAGGACTAGTAGACCATGTGATCCTCAGCCTATATAACCATGAGACCAGAAGAACTCGATGGTACCCAGCTACCACTGTCAACCACTCAGAAAGGGATCAGTGCAGGAGATCTTGGATAGAGTGGGAGAACAGTAGAACAAAACTGAAAATCACAAAAAAAAAAAAACCCTCTGATAGAGCCTGGTGGAGACCCCTGAGACTATGGCCCCTAGTTACCCTTCAGGTCTGAAACTGAACTCACTCCTATGGCTTCCAGAGAAACGACAAGAATATGGGGTGAACATTTACATCTGGTATATACACTTCTTGGAGCAATCAATCATAGGAGAACAGAAGGGAAGTGTTTGCATAGGGAGACAGCTCAGGAGGTGGAGTGCATGGGAGGGAAGGACACAGCAAAGAGGTAACTATGGGGAGGAAGTGGGAAGAGAGCTGTTACATTGTGGGGAACTGCAGTCAATGTCATGAGACAAAATGTGTATGAACTGCTGTATAGAAAATGAATTTGCTCCATAGACTTTCACCCTAATCACAATAAAATTTTTTTTAAAAAACGTATTATTCAAATTTTACACACCAAATAAGTGTAAAAAGAAATTTAAATGGTTAAACTTCACAATGTTTTATTTGGATGAGTTTGTAACATTTATCCTCTTCAAGTCATTAAAGCTTAATACCATACCAGGTCACTGTGAGTTAGAATTGACAGCAACTGATTTGGTTTTTGTGGGGGTTTTTGGTACTAACTCCTCTAACCCTCATCATAACCATTGCATGTACTCCCTCAGTTTAAAAATGGAAGAAACTGAGGCACAGTCACACAATTAAGTGTCAGTCTAGCAAAATTCCTGCTCTTGACCATTATACATATCATCCCCCAAGATCCCAGAGTAACGACAGCAACCCTGCAGCAAACCCACCCTCCCGAAGACATGACAGGAAACTATAAACCATCACTGTAAATGACACCACGGCAGCAAGCCCTTTTACGATAGCACCAAATCCTAATCCCTAGACCACTAGGGGAGTGTCGGGAAACTCTTTTAAGAGACTGCTCTCCCAGCCCATTCCCAACACGCCATACCTGTGTGTGACTCACCAAGCTGTGGGAGCTGGGATACGGGGCAACACAGATGCTGGGGGCAGGGGGGCAGCCCAGCCGGGTGGGCAGCCGCTGCCAGAGCTCCTCGGCCAGGAAGGGCATTAGTGGGGCAAGGAGGCGAAGGCCAACATCAGCGCAGGAGAACAGGATCTGAGGAGGCCCCAGGGGGCGGGGCGAGTGAGCCAGCACCGGCTTCACTGCCTCCTGGGAAGGAAGCCAGTAGGTTACAGGATGTGCCCAAAGGCACTTCCATTCTCTCTACCTGTGGGGACACTGCGTAAAGAAAGGGGCAGTTCCTAGGAGAGAGGAAGGGCAGAAGCACTCAGCATGTGACAACATCAAGTACCCAAGACACACTCGCTCTGGAGGGTAAGCAAAAGGGGAAGTCTAGGACAATGATTTTCAGACAGGTGGGGAAGACAATTTCCAGAGAAACATACGTAGATTAGAAAGAAAAGCACTGATTGTTTTGCTTATCAAAAGGGGACGTGAGTTTTTTAAAGGTTGAGAGAGAGTGATATAGAGCAGTGGTTCTCAGTGTGATCCCAGGCCAGCAGCGTCAGCATCAATTCGTCAGAAAGAAATGAAAGTTCTTGCTACCCTCACCCCCAATCTGCTGAATGAGAAGCTCTAGGGTCTGGAATCTGTGCTTAACAAGATTCCAGGTGCTTCTGAGGCAGGATCTCCCAAACTTGGGATCTCCTTGCCAAGGAACCCGAACTTAAGAGGAGCAGGTCTGGGTGTGGAAACGTGAGGTCTTGCCCTGTTTCATTTACCAGGTAGGTGTCACAGAGGTTGTGGAGCCAGAAGTGATGCAGGGCATGGGTGACGAGTGAGAGCTCGCAGGTGAGGAAGCCCCGCTCACACTCCCCGGCAGTGGAGGCAAGGCGGCTCAGGATCCAGGCGTCCATGGGGGACAAGGGAGACAGCTGTGGGCAGAAGGGGGTTCAGGACAGGGATGGCTGCCCTCTTGCTCGGCACTCCTTTCCTTCAACCCATGTTTTCCTCAGAGCTGACTTCCTCATGCATCTGATAACACCCACTCAGAGGCACCTCTTCCTCCTTTCCTACCTCCTCTACAGGCTGGGGTATGAATTTCTCCCCCAGGACATTGAGGATGAAGCGCAGGGCATTCCAGATTTTGTTGCAGAAATGTCGGGAGCTCAGTACCTCAGAGACAGACAGGTTCAGGTCAGCCCCTGGGAGGAGAGGGAATCAAGGAGGAGTCTGTGCGTGGGCGGCAGCAGGACGGGAAGCCCCCAGTCCTGTCCGCCCTGCCCTCTCTGCAGCCAAACACTTCTGTTGTCCCAGTCTGGCCCGGGCTTACCCAGCACTCCATGGGAGCACAGTGTGAATCTCAGAGCATCTGTCCCACACTCAGGGATCCCATGAGAGAAGTCCTTTCTCTGCATCAAGTGGAGAAGGAAGGTGGCAGATGCCTATGAGGCTGTAGAGCCAGAAGCCTGTTGTGGGGCAGATGCCACAACTCACTTGTGCTGCAGTTGCAATCGCCAGTTCTGTGGGATCCAGGTTCCCATCCCTCAGCTTCTCCTGCAGCACCTGGGGTAATGTGAGTGGTTCCCAGGCCTTGGTCAGAGACCCTACCCCAAAAGGCAATGCCCACTGTCCCCCAAACCCCTGTGCCTGCCGGTAGCTCCCCTACTCAGACTCCTCTGGGATGGCATCCTAACCTGCAGCTCAGCTCCAGTGATGATATCCCGAGGGTCCAGCACATTCCCCAGGGACTTGCTCATCTTCCTACCCTGCCGGTCACGAACCATGGAGTGAAGAAGCACCTGGGGGCATGGAGGGTCAGCAGAGGGGGGCTTGGAGAACCCGTCCTTGGAGGGTCCCTTAGGATCTCTGGTTTCTGTACTTTTGGGATTAGGATAGGAAAGGAATCAGGAAGAAGGGAAGACAAGGTTTGGGGAAAGCTGGGGAGTCAGAGGAGGGAGCAGGGTACTGGAGGGCTGTTACCTTGCTGAAGGGGAGTTGCCCAGTGAGCTGAGTCCCCAGCATGACCATGCGGCCCACCCAGAACAGGAGAAGATCACTGCCCGTCTCCAAAAGTGATAGGGGATAGAAACGTGAGAGGTCTGGGGTCTAGGAGGAGAGAAAAGCAGTAAGGGGTCTCAGCCACTGGGTCTCTAGCTCTTCTCAAAACTTTCCAGGCACCCAGGTGTCCCCTCTCTTCATTATCCCACCTTCATGGATTCTTCTCTCCCTCTCAACCCACCTCACCTCTTGTGGCCAGCCCAGAGCAGAAAAGGGGAAAAGAGCTGAAGAAAACCAGGTGTCTAGGACATCAGGGTCTGGGAAACAGAATAGGGAATTGGAAGCTTGGCTTCTAGGACCTCAGACCACTGTTGCCTACCATCTCAGCCTTACCCCCAGAGACCAGGGGTCTGGCCCTTTGCCCCATTCCCACCTTTCCCAACCCTACCTTCTCCATCTCAGATCTGCTCCCCTCAAAGACCCACACCCACCCCTCTACAGCTCAAGCACTCACCCCTCTCCAGGGTTAGCTCTGCCCCTGGCCTCCCTGTAAGTTCTGCAGCTGCCTCTCTAGCCTCGGCCTCTGACCGCCCAACCACCCAACAGTCTTCCTCACTGTCCTGCAAAAGAAGTAAAAGGTGAGGGGAGAGTAAGGAAGAACAATAGCAATTGATGGGTATGAAACAGCACTCAGTTTTTATGCACCTCTCTCTGGTGGCATAGTGCCTAAGGCATTTGACTGCTAACCAGAAGGCCAGCAGTTCAAACCCACCAGCCACTCCTCAGAAGGAAGGTTGGGCAATCTACTTCTATAGAGATACCACCTCAGAAACCCAAGGAGGGATCACTATGAGTTGAACTGACTTGCCAGCAATGAGCTTGGTTTTTGGTCATTGGGGTTTTAGGCTTGCCGGCACCTGCTGGGGGTAAGACACGGTAGCAGGGAGCTTTTTGTCACTTGTAATCACATGACTAAGACCTGAAGCACAGTGACAGACAGGAAAATGGGATTGGCACTGGAAGTCCTCTGACTCCAAGCCTCAGGCTCTTTCTTCCCTGCCCAGCTCTCTGTGGCTCACTCCTACTAACCTTTGCCAGCTCCTCTACCACCAGGTAGGCTGGGATCTGATGGCCCCACCACAGCTGCCGAGAGACACACCAGTCCCTGACGAGAGAACACTGTGATTTCTTAACATGACCAGTGGTCCCTGTTCCCATTTCCATGAGAGCGCCCCTCACCCTTACCCAATGTGGGAAAACCAGTGCTGCCAGTTCTTCTGGTGAAAGGATGGACAGAGCTCCAGGGCCCCCGACCCCACAGCCTGCAGGGAAAAGAGCCTTCAGTGGGTGCTTCCCTTGCTGCACTTGCAGTCCCCCAGAGTAGAACAAGTGGCCTCCAGGGTGCTTTTAGAACAGAGAAGACCTCCCAAACTCCCAGGCTTGAGTGAGGGTACAAGCTAGCCCTCCATCCATACAGCCAATGACCACAACTAGAGAGAATTTCAGCAGGAGATCCTCCAGCCTCCTGGTTCCTTCATTCCAATTCTCAAGGAGCTCCCCAAACCCCAGGTCCTTCTCAGTACTGTAGCCTCACCTTGGCAGCCTGGTCCCCCATTTCTCGACAACGGACAAACCACTGGCTCTTCAGCAGGTATTCTACCACATCTCCTGATCGGCTTAGAGAAAGCAAGGTGAGTCTGCTGAATGTCCAGCCCTGCGCCTTCTCCCAGGGACATGAGCCAACTACATGCCAGGACTTGGTACCAAAGGGGTCAGCAGTGAGTAAAACTGATCCTGAGTTTATATTCTGGTATAAAGGTGCAGAGCCATCCCAGTGCCATTCTGCAGCCTCATCCATTCCCTTTTGGGGGTGGCCCTAAGCAAAGGGGTTAAAGCAGGGCTACCTGCATATGGGCAGCACCATGGGATGGCTTTGGAGGCCTCGGAACAGGCCCCGCTCCCTCAATGTAGACATAATCTTTTCCCGGGCCACAAAGCGGTGAAGTCCCTAGAGAAACAGCAGCAACAGTAAAAGTTAGAGGCTTCTAGAAAAACAAGAGAGTGGGAGAGGGCAGAAAACACAGAGGTTGGTGCCACCTGCAGCCAGTCCCCACAGAGCGAGGTCATGGTCCCATCTTCTGCAATGACACTCAGGGGGCTCAAGCCATGCCTGGCTCCTATCTCAGCATCAGCAGGACTGTGGGCTGGAGTCACCTTCACTGCCCCTGGGGGAGCAGAGCTGCAGTGAGCACATAACCTTGTCTTTTCACTTCCTTTTCCAGTTGTGTCATCATTATCCTCTCTTTCCCACCCTTCCCTCTCTTCTCTATGCCTCCCTTTGTTCCCTACTCCCCATTCAGGCTGCCCCGGACAAGGATTCTCCTCCCCCGGACACTGTGGCTTCCCTCTCCCCACTTCCCATTACCTCTCCCTCAAGCTCCATTCACCTGTGCCCATGTGTGGTTGGACAGCGGAGTCTGTGATGACAGGGAGAAGCTGCCCAGTCAAGGGGTGACGAAGTAGCCGCCCATGCAGATGCTGAAGGGAAGGAAAATGAGTCAAGGCAAGCATATGTGTGAGGTAAGAAGGTTTGGTCTGGGTCATGAGAGACCCTGGGAATACGAAGGTAAAACACCAGAAGAAAAAGAACTAAAGCAGAGATCAGCAAACTTGTTCTTAAAGGCCAGAGAGTAAGCATTTCACATTTGGTAGAACAAGGAACAAACTCAGTCTCTGTCACAACTACTCCACTCTGGCATTATAGTGAAGTTTGACATGGCAACTCTAGATAACACATAAACAAATGACTGTGGCTCATACAAACACAGGTGATGGCCCAGATTTTGCCTACAGCAACAGTTTGCCAACCTCCCAAAGAGAAAAAAAGTGTGACATCGAAAGGGCATAAAATTAAAACCGCTGAAGAGCTGAGATGAAAGAAGATGTCTTAGGAAAAGGAGTGGAAACAGGACAGAAGGTACCACCTTAAAAGGACAGGAAGAAAAAACACAGGGAAGGCGAGCCAGGGCATCAGGGGCACATTGTTCATTACCATGTATCGGGAGTCGTCAGGATGAACGGCCACAGCCACGTCTCCTGGCAACGTCTCTGGCCTCGTGGTTCCTACCACAACTTCAGCATCTGAAGACAAACATCCATGCACTTATACCTGGTCACCACTCCCAACGCTCACGTAGGTAAAGACTGAAAAAGGGAGGGGGTGGGGAGCAGTCAAAGTTGAACAGGCCCCAGTAGTAACTAGAGAAAATTAGGACCAGCATCTACAAAAGCCTGGAATTTCCCTGTTAGCAAATGATAAGAGGCCTGAGAAGGTGCCTGGTGCTAAGAATTCCTCGATGACTTCAATGGGAGAAACAGGTAAAGAGGATTAAAAGCAACAGGAGTCCTTGCTTAGGAGCCCTGGTGGCACAATGGCTGCTAACCCAAAGGTTGGCAGTTCAAACTCACGAGCCACTCTGAAGGAGATAAAAACCAGTCTGCTCCTGTATAGGTTATAGCATTGGAAACCCTATGGGGCAGTGCTACCCTGTCCAAGACAGTCGCTATGAGTCAAAATCAACTTGATGGCACCCAGCAAAAACAACAACACAGTACTATCTTTGTGCCCAGAGGACACTGCAGGAGAATTCAGTGTCCCAATCACCAACCCTGTGTACTCTGCAGGGCCATCACCAGGGCTTCATACACTACACATCCTCTAACCTGTCCACCTGAGCTATCTTTCTCTCCTCTAAACTCTTCACAATGTTCGCTTTTCAAACCATGCTCTAGAGCTGATCTCTTTTCTAGGCAGCAGACTCCTGCAGAACCAGACCAAATTCTTGGAGGACAGTGACCTGTGCTTTTCTTACATTCCCCCGGATACTAAAGAAGTGCACCCAAAGTAAAGCAGGCATACGTTACAAAGGTGCCTTATGCCCCTCCCACCAAATTTCCTATCGGCCTGAGATAGGCTCAAGAAAACAGGGGAAATAGAGGTCAGTGGCCAACCCTTCTGTGAACTGCACTCACCAGACTCTCCATCAATAGGGAAAGCAACAGAGACGAGAAGGCCAAAAGAAACTGGGGTGGGGCAGCCAGGCAGTCGAAGCTCCGTGCGGCCTGGCAGGGCCCGGTTCTCCACCTGAAGGGGCAAGAAAGCAGTGTCCAATAGCAGCCTTCTGTGCAAGGCTCACACCATGCTTCCCACTGCCACTCATGCCTTCTGCCCTGGCCTCCCTACGAAAGGACACAAGACAGCCAACCTTAGCCCACCTAATTCTCATACAGTGATAGTTACAATAAATATCCATAAAGTATTTAAACCACGGCCAGGTATTGTGCTAACACTTTACATGAGTCCTTTAATCCTCACAATGACCCCATCATGCAGGCACTTCTATCACCCCTAATTTACAAACTGAGGAAGCTGAGGCTTAACAGGGCTAAATAACCTGCCAAATGTCACACAGCTGTGAGATGGCAGGACTCGGATTTGAATCCAGGCAGTCTGGCCCCAGAGTCTGAGCTCTTAGCCACTCTCCTGCCTAGTCAGAGCCCTGGCAAACCTGCTTTGCTTTCTCTGCCTCACCTCAATATCCGAGATGGCTGATCTTAAAGCACATGACCAGTTGACAAGCTGCCGACTCCGGTACAACAGCCCCGCCTTGTAGAGTCGCACAAAAGCTTCAGTCACGGCCACCGAAGAACCCTAGAATGACCTGAGTGTCCACATCTGACAGTCCCTTCTCATCCTATGACCTCATTCAGGACTTAAGCACTCTCACCCCCTACCCCCAGTGCAAGTTGCCCTAGTGGTGCAATCATTAAGCATTCAGTTGCTAACCAAAAGATCAGTGGTTCAAACCCACCAGCAACCCTGTGGGAGAAAAGACCTGGCACTCTGCTCCCATAAAGATTATAGCTTAGGAAACCCTATGGGGCAGTTTTGTTCTGTCACTTAGGGTCACTACGAGTCAAAATCAATTCGACGGCACAAAGCACCACGCCCAATGCACACCATAGCCAGCTTTCCTGCACAGGGAAACACTCCACCCTAACCCTGCACAGGGACCAAGGGTTCAACACGCACAGCATCCATGGTGAAGCACTCTCGATCCCAGTCCAAGGAGGCTCCCAGCATGCGGAGCTGCTCACAGATCTCTCCACCTTTCCTGTGCCCAGAGAGAACTACTTTCAGCAAGCACGGCCTGGGTACCTCTTATAGACCAGGCCCAGTACGTCTCAGCAGTACTGGATGCTTGGGGAAAACGAAAGTGAGAATGACATTGTCTAGCCTCTAGAAGCTAATGGAGACATACACACCACCTCATATGGGACCCACTGCTAATCAAAAGGTTGGCAGTTAGAAGCTACCCATTGGCTCTGCAGGAGAAAGACTTGGCAATCGGCTCCTGTGAAGATTACAGCCTAGAATACCCTCAGCCAATTTCTGGGAAATCCAAGGAAGCTTCATAGAGGACAAGGCATTTGAAAATAGACCTGGAAGAATGAGCGTGATTTCAACAGATGGAAAGTACAAATGGGTGAGTGGGAGAGATGATGAAATTTATGCAATGGATTAAGTGACAAAAAGAAAACAACAAACATACACACACACCCCAGTCAACCAGTTGCTGCTGAGTCATTTCTGACTCACAGTGACTCCATATATGTCAGAGTAGAACTGTGCTCCACAGGGTTTTCAATGGCTGATTTTTTGGAAGCAGAGCACCAGGGCTTTTTTCCAAGGCACCTCTGGATGGGCTTGAAGCTCCAACTTTTCAGTTAGTGGTCAAGCACCTTAACCCCTTGTACCACCCAGGACTCCACTCAGAACAAAGTTGGGGCTTAAAACTATTTGGTAAGAATGGGACATGGTTTTTGCCCTCAAAATATAATATAAGTATAGTCTCCTTCACAGAGGAGACTAGACCAATGGTATCCAGTAAGAAATATAATCCTAACCATGTACATAATATTCAATTTTGTAGTCATGTTAAAGAAAAATTACATTTGTTTAATATGTTATTTAACATGACACAGCTACAGAAAAGCAATTTTATTTTTTCCACATCTGCCATGGAATTGATCCCAACTCCTTGCAATCCCAGGTGTGCTTCTCACACACACACACACACACATATATACACACCTGGGGTGTTTTTTTGTTTGTTTATGGTTAGTAGCCAAGTACAAACCGTTTGTAAAACTCAGTCACTTATATATATACATACACAGATAAAATATATATATATGTCAAGCAGCAAGAACCCTACCAAATGCTAAAAAGTGCTAGAGATTACAACTCTGACAGAATTAGGGCTAGGGCAGGAAGAGCCAAGAACTACAAATCAGGAAACAATGGCCTGGGAATTCAGGACTCAGACCTCTGGAATCTCGGTCCTTCTACCCCTGTCCCTCATACTCACTCCTCCTTCCACTTCCACACCTCCCTCAGGAAGGCTTCCCGGCTCATTTCATATCTTCTCACTCCCTGCTCCTTCCATAGCTGTTTCTCCACCACAGCCTATGATAGGATAAGGTAGCAAATAAGCTAAAAAATAAGGTTGCTGTGGAAGTAAAAATTTTTTTCACCAAGCAAAGAAAAAAAATGGCAAAAGGCATACTTGTGTAGCTATTCCTGCATGATCTGAACCGGGGACCCACAACACCTGATCCCCATGCATCCGGTGCCTGTAGCAAAATACCCTCACATGAACCCCAGGCTTATATGTTACCTCACCCTCCAGCCCATTTTGCTACTTCCCCTTCAAGAACTTAAGCAGCCCCATTTCCCTCTCACCAGCGCACAAGGGCATCCTGTATGGCCACAGTGAGTGCATGGCCAATGTGCAGGGAACCAGTAACATTGGGGGGTGGGATGCACATGGAAAAGGTCTCCCCTGTAGCCTGTGGCAGCAGGTTCTAGGAATGAAAAAAAAAAGAAAATCAAAGAGAAGACTAGACATTACCTAGGGGAATAGCACCCTCTGGTGTCTTCAGGGCAGAAAGAACTGCAGAGAACTGTCCTCCAAGTAACAGGGGAGGAATCTGCCAAAATTAAAGTGTGGAGATCCCAAGGACCAAAGACAAACTCTCCCACAATTTTTTGAAGCAGGCTCTGCAGTGTGGCTGGCTGTGAGCTCCTGGTACTGACCTGATATTCTGGTTTGAAGAAGCCCTCTCGCACCCACCAGGGATACCAGGCAGCTTCAACATACTGGGGGCTGTATGCAGGAGGCAGGGGCCCAGAGACATCTGTAAAGGCAGAAAGGATAGTTCCGCCAGCTACCAAACTTTGATCCCATGATGCATTTCAGCAGATCGGATGGGAAACAAAAACGTGACAGACGCCATCAAGTTCCAGAGTTACCTTTCTTTTCCCCTGGTTCCGTAGGGATTTCGTACAATACTATCTCCTTAGGAGTCCAGGCCTTACCAGGGCCTGCAGGTAACTGGGGATGGGAGGACAGGTATCAGAAAGGGAAATGCAATCTCCAATATGCACCTGCCAGTTGAATCCCAGCCCAACTCTCCTCTAGTTCCCTTCATGGCTTCTCAGACTCAAGCTGTCTGTCCCCTAACCTTGTTCTTCCCGACTATCCCAGCATCCAGTGCTGTCTGCCTCTCACGTAGGCGCTTTTGTTTTGCTTCACGGTTCTTCCGGGAGATGGGGGATCCATGAGGCTCCCGCTGGGTGCAAAGAGGCCGTGAGGGGCCCCGTAAGGGTCCCCTCCCCCAAAGTGATGGTCGAAAAGAGGCCAGAGGGAAATGAGGCATCAGAAGTGCCTGCAAAGGGCCCAGATCTGTCCAAGATAGAGAGTGCATTAGGATATGGGGGTGTGGAGGGCTTCCCTGTTTCCTAAAGTTACAGCCCCATTCCTTATTTCTTTCTTCCCACTAGCGCTGGTCTGTTTTCTACCAGCCCCCTCCCACACAACCATTCCTCCGTGAGGACTGCAGTTCATGGTGTCGACAGCGACAGCACTGGGGGTCACGGGACCACGGTGCTTCTAAAATAGGGTCGAAGTCTCTGGCCCTCAACATATGCATCTGAGAAATGGAAGGGACTTCTAACACATGGCTAACATCATAACACATGGCTAACATTATGATTCCGGGAGATGACGGACAGGAGCACGCCAGGAAACAACGAGGAATCCCGCCGGAGTCAAGGGGATCTTCTTACACCCAGGCGAGGCCCGCAGTGTTCCCAACCCCGCGAGGCTCGGCCTTCCCGCCAACCTCCCTAAGCCGCTGAGGCGCGCGCTCACCGGCCGGGCCCGCGACTATTCCAAAGCGCCTCGCGACTGCTGCACGTCCCTCGAGCACCGCAAGCCCGACCCCGGAAGCAGACCTGTAGACCTCGCGGGATTGAGAGGTGGAGCCCTCTCAGGCGCATGCGCAAAACCTACACTTGGCCCCACCCCACCACCTCCAAGCAGCCCAATAGCGTCCAGGCCGAGCCGCGGTGGATGATGCAGTCCCGCGGGGGGGGGCGCCGGGGTCCATGGGTTTATTTCCACAACTTTATTAAACAAGAACATCCCGACGTATTAAAAAAAAAGAAAAGAAACCTGAGTTCTGAGGCCGCTTTTCTGCAGCTGGCGTGGCCCGCCCACCCGCCAGGTTCCCCCACACTCAGGAGCTGTGCTTCTGGCGCTTCCAGAAGCGCTTGACGTCACTGTGCCCGGCCGGCGTGACCACCATGAGCCGCTTCGCGGAGTTCTCGAACAAAAGCACGCCCAGCTCCCGTGCATGGGCTAGCAACAGCTCAAAGTCCACCTGCGACAGGAACTGGTTATACAGGACGCCTGGGATCCGCAAAACAGGAGTGGGTAGAGAGAGAATTTAAGGCTCAGAGCTACCAGCACCTTAGAAGGGGCCTCAGGGCAACGCGCTGGGCTTGCCATCCCACCAAACTGCAAAACTAATCTCTGCTTGTCTGCTCTGGAGTTCAATTTAACACTAGTGTGATTCAGCCATATGCTGGAAAGCAATATAATACAAAAGAAAACCCATTAAAATCCACTAAAACCACAGAAATTACTGTGGATTATCTGTTCCCCTTTCCCTCTTCAAGTCCCACTTGCACTGATTTGTGCCACTTTATTTACTGCTGTCCACCCACCCCAAAATAAAAAGTGTCATGCCAACTTTTCTTTCCCAGTCCTGCAGTAAACCAAAAATAAAATAGAAGAACTTTAATCAGCTTATCAAGATTGAACTCTCCTTCCTCTGGCCTATGACTTGGCCCCCAAAAGCCACTCACCCTCAGTGAACCGAAGTCTGTCCCTTTCCAGCTCCCACAGCCGAATCTGGTCTGTGATGGTAGGGGGCAGCACAGGGGTCTGCAGGAGCGAGGAGTGGCTATAAGGTTTCAAGGAGACTCCAGACAACCCCAGCCCCCCATTCATTCCCTCTTATTTCCATCTTCTCATCACCAGATGTCTGGGGTTTCTAGCCTCTGGCATCTTGGTACTTGGTTTGTACCTGTTTGAGCATCACTGGGTGGGCCCTTGTCCTTAAGAAATGAATGATCTAGGAAAACAGGCAAGAATGGAATCAAGATAAGAGTAAGCGGTCAGGAGCTCTGAGCTGTCACCAAATTATCAACTTACTCTGTTTAAAAACACATAGACACAACCCTCAATACTTGTGCCTGCTGCCATCCCTGTTCAGCTGTTGTCCCAAGTTGATGCTCCCACTGGTCTTATCTGTTATTTCTTCTCTGGTACTTTTGTCCTTTCCAGAACCTGGTTTTGCTTTCCTTTTCTTAAAAGTAGCATCAGCTATTATTTTTTTTAGCATTTACTGCATGGCAGGCTCTTGACCAGATGCTTTACCTTTCTTCTCTCACTGAATCCTGTGATGAAGGAACTGTCATTAGCCCCATTCTCCAGATGAGGACCCTGAAGCTCAGAAAAGCGAAACCACCAGGCCTGGATTACACAGCTAGGAAGTGGTGGTTCCAAGACACAAATCCAGGGTTGACCTTCTCCTTTTCCACATCTAGATCCCTGACTTCTCCTATGCCTGGGGCTCAAACACAGACAAGTCCCCTACCACCTACTATAACAGACCCAGTGCTAGCCTTCCGTATCCTATGGCCCAAGTGCAGCCCGTCTTCCCACTCTCCCAAGTGGGCATACCTGTTGGGCTGTGATACCACTGGCAATGGCCTGCTGCACACTCTCGCGAGTCACCTGTGCCACCACCATGTTGGGGAAGCGATACAGCATCTCAGAGAAGAGAGCGATGAGAGCAATCTGCAGCTCCGACTCTGACCAGGGGCAAAAGAGAGGATGAGGACACCCACACCTTCTCAAGCCCCTCCTTCAAGTGTGATGAGGAATGTCAGGGAGCCACATAAACCACAGGTGCCTAGTAGATGTGAACATTAACCAGGATTTTCCCCTGGTTTCTGCCCCCCTAACCATCACCCCAGCCCGCCCTCCCAGGACCTCTGTCCGTCCTCACCTGTGTAGGCATACAGTCGGTAATTGGTTTCTACAACGATGAAGCCAGGCTGGTGTGCAGTGCCCCCAGCCCCGGAGACACCTGATGAGAGATTAATGGCCAGGCGTGTGGGGTAGTAACGCCGAGATTTCCTCTGGAAGGACAGAAGGGAAGAGCGGAGGGCCCTCTCTCAGGTCTCATCTCACGGCCCAGGGTCTTCCTACCTGAACCTCAGATCTCTCCACCTGCACGGAATCTCAGTCCCCAACTTCTCTCCCCCCAGGGACCCAAGTATGCAGTCCTGACAACTACTTCCTGCTACTATCTCCTGAGACCCCCCCCCCCCCTTTCTAAAGATCAAGGCAACATACCACCCTGGCTCTTCTCTAGAAATCACATATCTGGTTGCTCATACCTTCCTTTGGAAAACAAGTCCAAACTCACGTAGATGTTGCAAGAAGTTCAACAAAGACTCACTCATGCCCTCCACAGAGTAATCCTGGAAAAGAGAGGTAGCCACCTCGGGCCCAAAACACATCCTCTCTTCTCTCCCCCAAACCCATAGACTCTTGCCTTCTTTCCCATCTCAGATCTTTCTTTGTCCGATATTATCCCCTCACTCCATAACCTTATATCCCCGTCCCACCACCCTACCCCTCAGTCCACCCCCACAAGGCCCCAGCTCCAGCCCTTTGCTTACCTTGCCAAGAGTAGAGAAGCTAAGCTGAAAGAGGAAGGAGAGAATCTCTACTAGGTCCATGCCCCGACTCTAGAGAGGAAGGGCAGAGACAAAGGGTAAGGTATGGGAGGGAAAAAAAAAGGGAGAGGTACAAAGAAGAGAAAATCAAGGAACAGTAGTGTCTGTAGGCAGGGGTCTCTTATTTTGAGTGGTCTTGGGAAAAGCTGAGCATGCTGGCAAGTGGCCCCTGGCCTCACCTGGGCTGTCTGCAGGTACTGCAGCATAAAGTACCAGAGCTGGGCAGGGGTATCCAGCAGCAGGAACTGGAAGCCAGCAGAAGTAATACAGGGGGGCTCTCCAGGTTCAGCACTAAGAACACAGAGAGGGTCAATGGTGGACACATGCAAAGAAAGACCACCATCCCCAATTCAATTGCTCTTTTTTTTTTTGGTTTGTTTTTGTTTTTCATATCTCTGGCCTTACTCCACCCAGCTCTCCTTTTTTCAGTCAACCCCTCCAATCCTGACCTTCCCCAGATACTCAGTTTAGCAGGGATCCAAGGAGACAGCAAAGCAGGAGCTGTTGTACCTCTTCATAAGCCCAGCCTGGCTGAGGAGCTGGGCCAAGTCCTGGCTGACAGCTGCACTGGGGGAACCCACCATGAAATGCAGGACCACCTGAGAAATGGAAGAAAATGGAGAGACTGATACCTCTAAGGGCTCCAGGTAAGTAGCAGCATGAGCAGAGACACAGTCCCAAGTCCTCACCTCCCATCGTTCCTCAGCATATTTGTCCAGGGAGGGAACGTCCCGGGCATGTTTGTCTGGTCCCAGCTGACTTGTGTCATCAGACCAGGCCTTCCCCCTGTGGCCAGGATGGGTTAAGAGTAAAGGACCTGGCCTATGTTCCCCATTCACCCCTCCCCCTTTCCATCCTTATCCCCATAGGACACATGAGTGGGGGACACTTCCTACCCTCCCAGCTACATCTAGTCCAACTGATTCTTTTATAAATGGGCTCCCAAAGGTACACTCCCAAGGCTCCAGGGAGGCCCCTTGGGAGTTAGCCTTCAAGACGTTTAATTACCACTTCCCCTGTCCTAGCTTAGGAATAGACAGAAGTGACGTACCCACCCAGAAGGGCAATACGGAGGTTCTGGCGGAAGACAGGATTGAGGATGAGGCCCTGGAGACCACCAGGGAGTAGCTGGGTATGCCAGATACGGAGGCCGCTCAGCAGCCCCGTACTCTCCTCCTGAGCCCTGGAACAGAAACAGAGATATGAGTGGGCTATCTGGAGAACAAGAAGAAAGAGGCCCATGAAGTCTTTCATTTCTGCCTTTTCTGGACCAGAGATCCTCAGAACACTGTGCCACAGTGTAAAATAAATGTCTTCTTAAATTTCTTTACTGTAAGACTTATCAGAGTCTTTTAGTATATACCAAGAGTCTCCAAGAGGAAAATTAAGAGCATGTAGAGTTTCCCAAACTTAATTACAAGTTTTGTGGCATACCCAATAATACTTTCTGGAAGTGTTCCAAGGAACAGCAGTTTAGGAATACAGCTGCTGGGAAATTTGTATCTAGCTGAGAATGCAGTAGAGACTCACTTGCTGAATTCCTTCTTCACCCACAGGGCTACAGCAGCCTGTGGCAAAGGCTGTTCCAGAAAGAGCATTCGCATCACCCAATTCTTAGCCAAAGACGGGAGCTCCCTGTAGCAGGGTAGAGGCCAAATGTTAATGTCAGAAGCTGCTTTATATCTGTATCAACGCCTCCAAAATGCCCCATCTCAACCATCACACCTATACCGTTCCTGCTGCCCCCACAAACGTCATCTATTTTGGCTGGCCTCCCTTCTGAGTAATCTCCAAGTCCCCCAAGGCTGCTAAGCTTCTATCCATGATAATTTATTCAAGTCTGTTGTTGTTGTTGTTGTTATGTGCCGTGGAGTCGGCCCCGACTCATAGCGACCCCTCCTTGGGTTTCCGAGGCGGTATCACTACGGAAGTAGATCGCCCAATCTTCCTGCCGAGGAGTGGCTGGTGGGTTTGAATCGCCAGCCCAAGGCCCCCATTACATTTTCCCCTGCCACATGGTCCCTGCCATGAAGGGGATCCTCACCTGAAGACAGCCAGGCAGGTGGCAGGATGCCCATACAATCGGTCCAATACCCCGGGGCTCAAACCCCCTAAGAATTCTTGCAGGTTCCGGCATTGTAGGTGTACTCGATTCAGTCCACCCCTTGAAGGGGTGCTCTCCATCACCTAAGAGATGGATTGTTAGAAGAGCACTCCCACCATTCATGCCACTATCACCCCTCACCATCCTGATTCTAGATCCAGCCACCTCCACAATAATGCATCTTGTCCACGGTTTTCTTTTCCATGTCACTCATCTCCTCCTGTTTCTCCTAAACCTGACCAACCTTCCCACCTTGCACTCAACTTCAACCCTCAATTCCAGCCTTTTCTCAGTTTCCTAAAGATGAATTGTTAATTGCCTCATATTTGCAAAATCATTTTGTATTTCAGTGACTTGTCTCATTTTTAGCTGAGCAGTGACTAAGAATGGTTGAGCCCAGCTCTTTCCCCCTTCCACACTACCTGCTCAGATCAGCCTATGGGCTCCAAATCTGTCAGTGCTTCTTCATATCCTCAATTTCTTAGCCCCACTTCTCCTGATAGGAACGGCATTAAATTACCTCTCTCCTCCACCTGTTTCCCTCAAGTCTCCTTCACTGCATTCACCCTGATCCCACGTAGTCCTATCTCCTAACTTCTCCCCTATTTTCCTCCCCTTCCTAGCCTCTCACTCAACTCTCTCATTCCTCCACCACCCCTGCTCGCCTGTATGCCCCTCACCACTGTGTCGACAGCCCTCGTTCACCCCGAGTGTCGAGCAGTCGCTTAGTGGGAGTTGGTGTCTCGCATTGGCTCCCAGGATTAGGAGAAAAAATGGTGGGGAAAATGCTAGGGGGAAAAAAAAAAATACTGGGGCAGGGAGGAAGGACTTCACGGACACGAACCCAGAGCAGAAGATTCGGAAGAGAAGGGAAGGAGTGGAAAAGCAAGGAGGAGAAGAATAAACGCTGCACTCCCCCACCGCAGGCCATACTGGGAACTGGAGTCTTGTTCTCGTCTATTTCGAAGCAGCTTGAAGCACGTCTGACTACAACTCCCGAAAGGCACTGCGTGGAAACGGAAAGAAGAGAGGTTGGTTTTTAATTGAGAGAACTGAGGGCCGCCGTGGCGGGAGGTATCGTTCCGCCCCGTTCTTCACCGGTACTGCTAACGGCTGTCTAACCAGCCTCAGCAGGAAACAGGTCCCGGCAGTACAGACACCACCTAAGGTTCTCCGACCGAAGATAAGTGGTAAGGCGTTTGACTTACAGGGACGTGGGAAACGGTTCCTTTAACTCAGTTACTCCCGGTAAAATTGGAGTAATGCACGCTCTAAAACGTTTGCGCGAGTTAAAAGTTAACACGGTCCGATGCACCTTACTTGGCACGTAAAAAAAAAAAAAAAAAAAAACCCACTCCCATCGGGTTGTTTCTGACTCATAGCGACCCCCATTGGGTTTCTGAGCCAGTAAATCTTCTTCCGTCTTCCTTCCGCGGAGTAGCTGGTGGATTTGAACCTCCAGCTGTCAGGTTAGTAGTCAAATGCCTTAGGCACTATACCATCATGGCACCAAGTACTCACCTGGCATGTAAGTACCTAATAAATCTTAGTTTCTACCCAGTGGCGTCACTAGGGGCGTGGACAAGGTGTGCAGAACAAACTGGGTGACACTGAGTGGGTGGCACCAAAATGACTGTGCAGTGTTTTTTGTGCACTGTTTCAAAAGAAATTAATTGTAACAACAAAAACATTTTCCTTAAGCCCAGCTTACATGTATCAGTATATCTGTAAGGCTGAAACTACACTCATTTACTTTTTGAACCTTCTAATGCTCTCCAGTCAGAGCTGTCGTAGAGTGACATTTCAAATGTGATTTCATTACAATACTGTAATTTTAAGGTAGCATAGGGGCTAAGGCACTTGACTGCTAACCAGAAAGTTTGCGGTTCAAACCCACCAGCCACATTCCTCGGAAGGAAGATGGGGCAATCTACTTCCGTAGTGATACTGCCTCGGAAACCCAAGGAGGGGTCGCTATGAGTCGGGTCCGACTCGACGGCACATAACAACAACAACAACAATTTTAATTTTGGTTGTTGTGTCACTACTATGACCATTACATTCAGTGACATGCAGAAATTACAATTAATGAATAATGCTGGTACGAAAAAATATCACTAAGGATTTTGTATGGTCTTGTATGGAAGGAAGTCCATGGGGGGCAGGGGTGACACCAACCCTAGAGATGCTGCTGTTTCCATCTTCACCACATGTCCACCCATTGTTTAATTAAAGATCTTAATAAATATGAATTTTAAAAAGAATAGCTTGCTCTGATTTGACTTAATACACTTGCTGCAGAGAAAGGGGAGGAGATGTCTTCAGTCAAAACCAGAAGTACCGATCTCCCCAAGTTCCTATATTTTGGTATTCCCACTTTACAGACTCAAAAACCAATGCCCAGCAAGGTTAAGAAATTGGCCTATGATCAGACAGATAGAAAGTGCTGAAGCTGGAATTTGAAGCACATTTGCATGGAAGTGAGAGACCCAGGACCAAAATGGTAAGGTTTTGTTATATTTTTTATTCCCTGTCTTGTTTCTTTAGCAATCAATGTTTAAAATCCTCAAAACATGACACAAACCTGACAAAGCTTCTTGATGGGAAAAGTTAAATAAAGTGAAAAGATACAGTCTGGGAAGAAATGTTTAATAAAGTAGACAAAATACAAAACGTCTTAGAAAGCAATAAGCAAAACACAATAGAAAGATTGGCACAAGAGACAAACAGGCAATAAACAAAAAATATGGATTCCTTATTTAAAAAACATTCATTAGTAATTATGAAAAAGTAAATTAAAGAAACAAAATACCAAAAATAAAAGAAGCAATAAAATATAAGATTAGCACACACAATAAATAAAAAACAAGGATTGATAAACCTGGGTTCACCACAATGTGGGAGCACACTCATATACTTTTTCTTAATTTATATACTTTTGTTGAAGATAGACATAGGTATCTTTTTAAGGGCAATTTGGCAGTATCTATCAACAATTGTGGTCCCTGTATGGCCAAATAGCTTTCACTCAACTGCTAACCTACAGGTTGGTAGTTCAAACCCACCAGTGGTACCAACAGAGTAAGACTTGGCAATCTGCTTCCATAAAGATTACAATAGAGAAAATGCTATGTAGCAGTTTTGCTGTATAACACATGGGGTTGCCATAAGTCTGGATCAACTCCATGGCAGTGGGTTTGTTTTTTTTTTTCTTTTGGTTTCTCAACAATTTTAATGTGGCTGTCCTTTGACCTAACATGTCCACCCTTAGGAACATACTATAATGAGATTTTCCAGTGTATACAAAGATAACGCACGCAGAGATGTTCGTTAGAGTGAGTTTGTTGACGTGTGATGAAAACAATGGAAACAGCCCAATGTCCATCATGGGAGGTTGGTTAGATAAAATATGGGTAATCCCAACAATGTAAACTACTGGCAACCCTTAGAGAGGAGTTATCTCTGCCCTATTCTTAGAGGAAGTAAAGAAAATCACAAAATGGCATAAATAATACAGAGCTGTCACTTTTGTAAAAAGCTTTCCTGTGTGTATAAAACTGAAAAAGGTCATATGCTTCATTTTGGAGGACCAGGCAAGGAAGAGCTGTGTCACGATGCCCTACAACGCAAGGAAAACATTAAGACTGCACTGTCCAATACTGTGACCACTCCAAAAAACAAACAAACTCAGTGCCATCAAGTCAGATCCAACTCATGGTGACCCCTCCTTGGGTTTCCAAGGCAATATCACTACAGAAGTAGTAGCCCGACCTTCCTTCTGAAGAGTGGCTGGTGGGTTTGAACTGCCGGCCTCTGGTTAGGCATTACGCCACCAGAGCTCCCACTGTAACCACTAGCCACCTGTTACTGTTGCTAGGTACCATCGAGTCGATTCCAACTCACAGTGACCCTATGTACAACAGAAAGAAACACTGCCTGGTTCTATACCATCATCACAATCCTTGGTATGCTTGAGCCCATCATTGCAGCCACTGTGTCAGTACATCTCATTAAGGGTCTTCCCCTTTTTCTCTGACCCTCTACTTTACCAAGCCTGATATCCAGGGACCAGTTCCTTCTGACAACATAACCAAAGTAGATGAGACAAACTATTGAAATTTAAATTAACAAAAATATATTTTAAAAGTCAGTTTTTCCTGCAAAACACTACATAACATGGATGAACTTGAAGGACGTTATGCTGAGTAAAATGAGTCAGTCACAGAAAGACAAACATTGTATTACTTCACTATTTTAAAAAGTCAAGGAAAGATTTATATATGGAAGGAAACTTTCTTTGTTAGTTACTAGGGAGGGGAAGGAGAGATGCTAGAGAGGTAGAGACAAGTATTGATTTGAATGAAGGGAAGGGCGATGTACCAAAAGCAAGTGATCAACATGGTGGCGTTGAAGAAGAAGAAGACACAGAGGTACACAAGAGGTACAGACAGCAAATCCTTTTACATATAAAATACTGTGTTGTCAGTGATTACAAACATTAGTCTCTGGGTAGATAGATGGGTAGACAGGCTGAATGATCAGGTATGTCTGTTGTTATGTGCCATCGAGTCGGACCCAACTCATAGTGACCCCTCCTTGGGTTTCCGAGGCAGTATCACTACGGAAGTAGATTGCCCCATCTTCCTTCTGAGGAGTGGCTGGTGGGTTTGCACCGCCAGCCTTCTGGTTAGCAGTCAAGTGCCTTAGCCACTATGCTACCAGAGCTCCCCAGGTATGTCTAGGCAAAAGGAAATACACCCATGACCATATATAAGGTTGGCAAACAATATTTCTACATATGTATTTGTATGTACTATGAGAATGTCCAAATATATAATATAGCTAACATGGGGCAAAGTTATGATAATTTCTTGGCCACAGCCAACCACCCTGAGGCAGCGAGCAGTTGGACCTATGGGCTTGGGACCATGGTTGCAGGGGCCATCAAGCTCAATTGGCATAACATGGCGCACAGAAACATTGTTCTGCATCCTTCTTTGGTGAATAATGATTGGAGTCTTAAAAGCTTGCAAACAGCCATCTAGATGCAACATTGCATCTCTCTTCATCCAGAACAAAGAAG